GGCGGCGGTGGCGGCGGCGGCCGGAGGCCGGGGCTGGGGCTGAGGCGGGGGTCGGGGCTGCAAGGCCCGCGGGGCGGCAGGCAGCGGCGGCCCGGGGCTCAAGCCCGGATACGGGAGCGGCCACCATGGCCGAGAGCATCGTGAGTGGGGCGGCCGGGCGGGAGGGCGCCGGGATGAGGCAGCAGATTTGCCGGCGCGGCCTGCGGAGAGGCCCAGCGGCCCGCCCTCCTCTTCATGGGCCGGCCGGGTGGCCGGGCTCCCGACCTCCTCTCTTCAGCTCCTCCCGTCCCCGGCCGACGGGGGAGGCCGGCCCGTCCGCGGGGTGTGGGTTGTGCCGGCCTTTCCATTCCTGATCGCGGGGGTCGCGCTTGGAGGGGCTGCAGTTCCTCGGGGCCGGGGCTACGATCCCTCCTCGCCTCCTGTCCGTCTGTCTTGCCTCCTTCCGTCGCTCCAGTGAGTGCCTTGTCATGGGTTCCTTAAAAGGAGAGCACTTTATATAAACGGGGACCCCATCCCACGAGAGGAAGCTGCTAAGAAGGGAAACGGTGGCCTGGTGGATGGCAAGGAGACCTTGACAGCTACCTGTCTGTAAAGGGATGTTATAAAGGTTGATCTTATTTTGTACCCGAAGTCAGGGATTGACACACTCCCTTTCCCCGCTTAAAGTTAAAAAAAAAAAAAAAATGAAAATCAGAAAAAACTGGCCATCCCTTAACTTGTGGAAAGTTTCCTCTCAGAAGTCAGTGTGGCCGGAAAAAACCCAACAGACCAGCTGGACAGAAAATTTTTTGGTTAACGTTAAGGACCACTTGGGATTTCCTGGAGGAAGCAGAAGCAGCATGGGGTGGCAAGTCATGTTCAGAATTTGGCCATGGGAGAGCCTCTGCAGTTTTGCCAGGTGTCGGGAATGGCATTCATCCTCCTCTCTGGATGCTCTGGACTGCAGGAACCTCCAGCTCTGGACTTTCAGGCTTTCAAACAGTGACTCCTCCTAATGTAGCTCTCCATTCAGGGGCCCTGGCATCTGCTCCGTGTTTCCCAGCCTGGAGATGAGCAGAGGGCATGAATGCCCCAAGAGAAACGAGCAACTGATTCCTTTTAAAATAAGACTTACTAGTCTTTGGTGACTCATTCTAGAAATAGGTTAAGAATTAGCACTCAAATCTGCTTCCAGACTTTCTCTTTACTGTAATATTTTTAACCAAATTGAAGTAACCATGGACCCGTGAGTTGTTTCAGAGAAGTCCACTTTTCTACTAGTGTATATAAGGCTAGGGTCTCATTGATAGCATGGATCTCTTGTCGAATTTCTCAGATTGTCAGGAATTAAAATGGATGATTCTTCTGAAATTTATTTCAAAAGTTTTTATTTATGTATTTAGAAAGAGGTGTTCTAAAAATTTCTATGGGATAACTAATTTTTATCTCACCAATTCTTTGACTCCCCCAAGAAATATTCTGGGCTCATTTTCCTATAAATAGGGAAACTTAGTTACCAAGAAGCTATGTGCCCATGTTGCCTGGTGTGTCTCTTGTGTATTTTACTTTATACCATGTGTCAGAGGCCAAGTCATACCTTCCCTCAGTATGAATTATCTTTGTCTCTTGGAGTTAAATACTGAGCTTAGCTTGGAAGCCTGGACTGCCATGCCCTGTTGTAAATAAACAAGTAGAATAAGTCCTTGAGCTTTAGAACTCTCCAGAAACGTGTTATCCTGACCTTGAGCTTCTCGAGGTGTGGAGTGTCATGCTCTTGGTCCTAAGTGAACAGTCAAAGCAACAGTCATAGAATCCCTCAAGGAGAAGCAGAGCTCTTCACTTCTTAACCTGCCTCAGTGTTGGAGACAGATTTCAGAAACAAATAAATGGGAGTTTACCTAATGCCCAGGCTGTGTATTAAGAAAACATTTTTCTAGATGTTGAATCCAGAGTAAAGCATACTAGAAATCAAAAGTCAAAATAATTTGAGTGCATATAGATGAGTGAGAAAGTTAAACAGATGTTAAGAAGCAAAAAGAAAATATTTTATGCTCTTAACAATTGGGATTTCATAAGGCTTGTTCAAAACAAAATCTTAAAAACTGAGAACAATATGGGGACAAAGGCTTTTCAGTTAAGCAAAAGTTATTAGAAAATGAGAAAGACATAGTCAAGCTATTTCAGCAAAATCTAGATGATTCTTGTTTGGTAAAGGTGGACAGATCGAAAGCCATTGTGACATTTTGTCCCGTATCAGTGAAAGTCTTTTTAAAAACAACTGCTTGTGACATTTCTTGTCTGTATAGTGTTGTTTTGAATACAATGTACAGTGCAGTAGTTGCTGAGGGGAGTAACTACGACGTGAGTACTTTCGGGCACATTCTGTTCATTGTTCCTCCCACGCCTCAGGTGGTTGGAACATCCTCTGTCTTGCTGGCGGCAGGGCATATGCCAGTTTATGCTACCCACTGAGGCAGGACCTTGGATGGTTGGCCAGGGCATAATAGCACACTTTCACTGGGCTTCGATCAGCATGAAAATCAAGTCTAGAAAGTGATGCTCCGTCCAGTTGTCTTCCAGGCCTAGCAACCATTTCAGGCTTGCCATGAAAATATTTTTTTTTTAAACCCTGCCAAGTTTTACCGTGGTATTAAACACCTTTTTTCTTTTCTTTTTTATTGAAAGTAAATAACAAATTAGAAGATTTCCTGTGATCCTTTTTATGTTTTTAATTGTTTTTTTTTTTGTTTGTTTGTTTTGGCTGCGTGGCTCGCGGGATCTTTGTTCCCTGACCAGGTATCTAACCCGTGTGCCCTCGGCTTTCACTACGGAGTCCTAACCACTGGACCACCAGGGAATTCCCTGTGATCCTTTTAAGTTAGTCTAGTCTGTGTATGGATCCTGGAACAAAGTGAGATATTTTTTAAAGAACTCAGTTGTTCATGATTCATGGTGGGTTTTTTCCTGCTG